GGAGGAAAAGGGAGTTACCTAAAAGTCATTTCGAATATACTGAAATAACTTTCCATCTATCACTGTACGTCCCATATAATGTATACTAAACACTCATTACATGTCGTGGGAAGTTTTTAAAAAAATTAGAGCAGCAAGCCACATTCCCCAATACGCGCATACCTCCTAGTTAATTTCAAGTAGCTCATCAATATGTAATACCTGAAATTACCTCGATCAATGCATCTTACTAGGTAAAGCATTATACAATGTAATAGGTCATCATGGAAGTTAGAAAATAAGTAAGGGGGATTTACCAAGTGTTGATCTTTTAAGAGTTTTATAAAGAAACAAAAAGATATTGAATATTTCTCAGCGAAAAAAAGGAACAAGCTTGTTTCGCATTTTAAGAAATGGCGATTTGACTTATGATACTCATGTTGATTTAACTTTTATTCCTGTGCCCCCTCACTCCCCTTTATGCACTGGAGTTCAAACTATGATTTATATGTGTACAGTGTATTTTTTTTTACTATAATGTTTTTTTTTTATAACTTTCTTGTCCTTTCATTATTGTTAGTTGTTCTTATACATATTGGTTTTTTTGTTTGTCTAATTATTACCAATGACTTGTAAATATGTAATTTTTATATGATTGAAAATTTAATAAACACACAAATATAAAAAAAAAAGTTTTTGAAAATAAGGGCACTTATATACGTAAGGAAGAGAACCCATTCAGACGGGAAAATGAGATGGCAGCCTTTCTGCTTATTCACATTTATACAAATCATTTTGTTGCAGTTTGATGTTAGTTCTTCATGATAAGCCAATTGCTCTTCTTCCGGTGGCTTCGTGAGTCCCTTAAATTATTTAGTGAAAACAAAGTACTCGAATGAAACGGAGTGTTTTGCACACTAACATATATATATATATATTAAAGCTACATACACTTAACTAAAGGAAAGAAACCTTTAGAAAATGGACTGGATATTATTGAAAATATTATTCTAAACAAGAATGTACTACATGATTGAATTACTTTACGTTTCAATTTCACGAGAGAAATAGAACTCGAGAGAGGGAGCAGAGAAGAAGTGATGGAAATGAAAGAAGACTAATAGCATGAGAGGAAAGAAAAAGGAAAGAAGACAAGAAAACGGTGTAAACAGGAAAAGGAGGAGCATGGGAGAGAGAGAAAGAGAGAGAGAGAGAGAGAGAGAGAGATAGCCTTGAGCTTTGGATCAGCTAATGAGTAATACATGAAACAGATTTTGAGCGGAGTAATTATCTTTCGCCGGAGAACTTGCGTAACGAGCTATAATTTTATTTTTTATTTTTTTTAATCAAACATTATGGGGAAAAGCAAAAAACGGTTGTCTTTTTTGCTCTTTTCTTTCCTCTCATGTTATTAGTCTTCTTTCATTGAGGTAATTTCAGGTCTTACATATTGATGAGCTGTTTGAAATTAACTAGGAGGTATGCGCGTATTGGGGAATGTGGCTTGCTGCTCTACTTTAAAAAAAAAAAAACTTCCCATGACATGTAATGAGTGTTTAGTGTACATTATGTGGGACATACAGTGATAGATGGAAAGTTATTTCACTATATTCGAAATGACTTTTAGGCAACTGCTTTTTCCTCCCACATTATCAACATTCATTCATTTCATTTCATTTACATAATGTCATGAAATGCATTCAAAAAATGAAGAAAAAAAGAAAGAAACAAAAACAACCCGTGAAAAAAAAATATTGTCGGCGAAGCATTTGTCGTAGTACTAGTAGCATTTGTATTTAATGGGACACTTTTTGGGTGGAGCAAATGTCGTCGGAGCAAATGTCACCGGAGCAAGTGTCGCTTCATGCGGAGCAAATGTCGTCGGAGCAATTGTCGGCGGAGCAAATGTCACCGGAGCAATTGTTGCTTCAGGCGGAGCAATTGTCGGCGGAGCAATTGTCGGCGGAGCAAATGTCGTCGGAGCAATTGTCGGCGGAGCATATGTCACCGGAGCAATTGTCGCTTCAGGCGGAGCAATAATTGTCGGCGGAGCAAATGTCGGCGGAGCAAATGTCGGCGGAGCAATTGTCGCGTTTTGCGGAGCAATTGTCGGCGGAGCAATTGTCGGAGGAGCAATTGTCGGCGGAGCATCTGTCGGCGGAGCAATTGTCGGCGGAGCAACTGTCGGCGGAGCAACTTTCGGCGGAGCACCTGTCGGCGGAGCATTTGACGTCGGAGCAAATGTCGCGGAGCAAATGTCGCGGAGCAATTGTCGCGTTTTGCGGAGTAAATGTCGGCGGAGCAATCGTCTGCGGAGCATGTGTCATGGAACCTTTTTATCTGCTGTGACGACTTCGAGAGTGACTACAACTACAATACTTATATTTTCTCGACGTTTCACTTTCCTATAATATCAGCTAAAGAAATCAGAGGTTTAAAATGTTCGGGGAAACTAAAGTCAAACAAGGTCAACGACGGTACGACGAATCGTCTTCTTTCTCTATAATTATTGTGATGAAACGCCCGATTTATAAATGTTAACCCCCCCCCCCCCCCCCCCCTTGAAAAAATCGTGCGTACGCGCCTGGTTAAATTTGTAGATATTGGACATTTAATTTTGTCGGTAATTGGTCGCTAGTTTTGTCGGTTGTCGTTGGCCTCTACACCCCCCCCCCCCCCACTGAAAAAGATCACTCGATTGTAAGGTTACAAGTCAAGCACATGAAGGATAACAAGTATGAATTATCATAGATCAGTTCTGATTGGTTCATTATATGTCCATCTCAACCGTAATTTTTCCATTTAGTATAAGCAAGCATTTTGCCGAGGTATAAACAAAAACATGAATATTCATGAACGCCATGGACTGACATGCATGGACGCCTTTAACAGAGGGGTGCAATTGTGCACCACATCAAACTCCCCTACTTTAAGTCAAGTAGTTCATTGTATTATGTAGTTTGGTAGGTTTATTTTACTAACTGTTTAATAATCAGATACCAATGATAGTTTAAAGATATGGAAAAAAGCTTCTTGTATTCTATATTTAGCAAAGCAATCTCACATACAAAGTCACTATTAAGTGTCGTCTGATCCGCCGATTGCCGTCTGCTATATACGTTCAAGTCACATTTATCTGTGGACTGTGATGTAGACAGTTTACTCGTCATTGTAGATTTATGATTAGCCATCTGTCATTATTAGTCTTTAATTGTTGACACACATACAATTACCACACACACATGCAAACTCTAACTTCCCCTCCCCAACACACCAATTCCGCACACCCGGTTCACCCAATGGCATGTACACCCTGCAATATAGTGAACCATTCTAGTTTGGTAGTGCCGACGAACTAGCTACGTTTGTGCTGGCAAAATAGTTCAGCGAGCGCCAGGGGGGGGGGGGGGGGGGGGGGGGGCCATCGCCCAAAAAGGTAAAAAAAAAAAAAAAAAAAAAAGGGGGGGGGTGCAAATTTTAAAATTTTGGAGGGACAAAAAAAAATGTGCTCACTCCGCGCCTGCCTAAAACCCCTGAGCTCCGGGGGTTCTGCTCCCTGGACTCTCCGCCAATTAGTGACCTACCAGTGTCACAAATAATTAGTGCCTAAATTTGCTTATCTGACCATAATTTAATGCCTAAAAATCCTGAACTTCCGGGGGCGCAACTCCTTGAACACCTGCCGGGGCTCAGGCCCTGGACCCCACACCAATTTACGCTAGACCTGATCGACTTCGAAAAACGTTCCGCGGGGCCTGCATGTAACGTGTAAGAGGGGTGGTACTTTTCTTCTGCCCCCCCCCCTTCCAAACGTTTTTGCTCATTACGTCACTGCCCCTGGAAGATGAGCCCCTGGAATGTTTGCCCCCCCCCCCCCATCCCAAACTGCTTCAGGCGCGCCTGACCCTATTCTCCTCTAGCTAATTAGAGCAATTTTATACACTGAACAATTGGCTTGGGAACCAATTCCATCTTTACGGATGGGGTCCAGGGGCGGAGCCCCGACGCTCTCGATATTTAGCAATTCAGAAATTAGAATTTCCCCCCGAGGACAGCGAGGACAATATTACCCCCTAAGGACAATATTACCCCCAAGGACAATTATCCCCCGCGAACAACTACCCCCCTCCCCCGAGGACAACTACCCCGTGTACAATCAGGATTCAATAGCAAAAGACGATCTGACACATTGAGAGATTAAGGTCCAATGCATGAACCCATATTCGTTCAAATACTTAATTAGCACGTTATCTTTCCTATTACTACACATTTCTCTTAAAATTTTATTTCTTCTCAAATTGCATAAATTACATTTCTCTGAGGCAGCGTTATTTCAACTTTTTGTTAGTCACGGTACCCTCTTAAGAAATGATATATTATAATGTCTATGATTCTTTAGACGAAACGTTTTATGTCCCTGTTACGCCATCAGTGTGGAATGCTTCTTTTTTTCTTTTCTTTTTTTGGAGGGGGGGGGGGGGGGGCTTTTCAGTCCGTATTATTTTGATTTGCATACTGGATAAGTGCAATAAAGAATGCTGCAAAACAAAACGACAGATATAAGTTCTCAGATGACAGAGCAAATGAAAACAATATTGATCTGTCATCCAGGTACTACACTGATTTATTGTACCACTTGGAAGCCTTATATAATAAATATGTATATGATTATCTCCTTTCCTCTCTCCCTCTTTATTATCTAGTTTTACCTTCTTTTCTCTTTGTTTCTCTCTCTCTCTTTTTCCCCTTCCCCTATTTTAGGCAAACGAAAAAAAGGGGGAGGTCCGCGGTCGATTCGTTAGAAAATATCTAGCGGCGAATCAGCCGGCGAATACGCGGGGGGGGGGGGGGGGGGGGGGGGGGGGGGGGGGGAGAGCACTATTTTTGTAAAACTTTTTTTTTTTTTTATTAAAAAATATTTTGTTATTGTTTTACTAGAGTCTAGGTGAGGTCTATTTATTATCAAATTAAGACAATCTCAAATGCTAATAAAAATAGCATAGCAATATTTACAGTACAAACAAGAATTAATTATATACCCCGTTCAGAAAATCCGGAAATCCGGAGGGGAAAGCAAAAACCAAAAACAATTAATAAAACCTAAGAGGAATGTTTCTAAAAATAGCCACTGATATATATCCCACAATGCATCTCATTTCTTTAAAAAGAGGCGCGTCAAGATGGCGGACACGGCTCTTGAAAGTTTGTATTGAGTTTATTACTTTTACATTGAGTCCATTTTAGATGTTCAGTAGTGAGGAACATGAAAAGTAATATGAAAATACGATCATTAGGTGGTTTTATTTAAGCACGATTGCTGCTTTGTAGTGCTACGTTGTGGTCATTGCTTCCGTGCCGGTATCTCACTGCGCAAGTTTTATTGTGGTCCCATACGTTGACAACTGTGTTGTGAGTTCGTTCGTTGTGAGTGTTGAGTGCGTGTGAACAGGTGAAGAATTGATTTGTGAATGGGGACACATTTTGACAAGATAATGTTATAAACTCAGTGAAAAAATAATGACTATTTTTAAATGGGATAACGAGATATTTTAGGATAAACTCTAGATCTAGGTCTAGTCAGTAGACATGGTGGTAGAAAGATGAGAAGACACAAACCACAACACAAGAGACGACATTAATTTTGCTGTTCTCTAAAAATTAAAAAAATTCAATTTTGTTTTAAAGAATCAAAGACAATATTTTGCCTCGGCCTCAGGAATTTTGAAAATCATATTTATACATTCACCCTAGATCTAGACTCTAGATGTGATTATAGATCTAGATCTAGCAAAAATATTTTTGTAGACCTAGATCTATGCATCCTCTGAAATTTCTGTATGAAACAAATTATTGAATCTAGACCTATCGCATCATCATGGTCATCTGGTCATGGTGCGGTGGGCCCGGTGGGGTATTCTAAAGTTGTTCCAAATTCTGTACATGTATGCCTATGGAGCAAATTGGAGAGGAGCTTGCAAATGCAAGAGCCAAGATAAGTCACTGAGTTACCAATTTGTGTATGATTTATTGCAACCTTAAAGGTTAAGTCTAGGGTAGCGCGCCCAGTATTCGGTCAATTCCCAGTATTCGGTCAGACAGCCGTTTCAACAGCTGTAACAATTTAATGTTACCCCGATTTTCAAGAAAGGTAACAAAAGTGATAGTAAAAATTATAGGCCAGTTAGTCTAACGAGCATTATTTGTAAAATGATGGAGAATCTTGTGCGTAAGCAATTGCTTGACCATCTTATGACGAATGATTTGATTTCAGTTCACCAGCATGGGTTTGTAGTTGGTCGGTCTTGCATCACCAATCTTTTAGAAGTGTTGGACCAGTGGACACAGATTTTGGATGATGGAGGCACAGTAGATGCCATATATTTGGACTTCATGAAGGCGTTCGATACGGTGCCTCACCACCGACTGCTTCTCAAATTAGAATCGTATGGAGTTCGTGGGAATGTACTTGCATGGTTAGAGTCTTTTCTGAGTGGACGGCAGCAAAGAGTAGTGGTCAGAGGCAAGCAGTCTAAGTGGGGCAAAGTCCTGAGTGGAGTGCCGCAGGGCAGTGTGTTGGGTCCATGTTTATTTTTGCTATTTGTCAATGACCTTCCAAAAGTTGTCAACTCAAATATTTCGATGTTTGCAGACGACACAAAGTTGTATGTCCGTGCTGATACTGCAGATTTAAGAAAGCAACTTCAAGAGGATCTGTCACGGATGGAAGAATGGGCTGAGAAATGGCAGCTTTGCTTTCATCCTGATAAGTGTACTGTTTTAAGGCTTGGGAAGTTACCGGCAGAAGCCTCTACAGACTATTGTATGAAAAAGGGGACAGACTCTGTAACACTATCTGTTACAAACGTAGAAAAGGACCTAGGTGTCCTAGTAGATTCACAACTATCATTTAAAGATCACATTTCCCAAACAGTTCTCAAAGCGAATCGAGTACTTGGAGTTATCCGTAGGACATTTATGTACCTCAATACTGATACTATGCCGTTTTTGTTTTAAAGGCCTCGTTAGGCCCATTTTAGAATATGGACAAGCCGCATGGTCCCCATACAGATTAGGAGAACAGAGAATGTTGGAGAGCGTACAAAGACGTGCAACAAAGATTATTCCTGGCCTTAGAAATTTAACATACCAGGAGCGCTTGACCAAACTCAAACTACCAACTCTTGTTCACAGGCGTAAAAGGGGGGACATGATCGATGTGTATAAGTACGTGAATGGCTTGTACACTGTGCAAGAGATGCCCTTAAGATGAGTACAGAAGATCGAACTCGAGGTCACTCTAGAAAACTTGAAAAGAAATATTCAAGGCTAGATATAAGAAAATACTTTTTTAGCAATAGAGTCGTGGAACTGTGGAACGGTCTCCCAGAAAACGTTGTGGCAGCTGGGTCGGTAAACTCTTTTAAGAATAGACTTGATAGTCACTGGTCAAAGAGTGTACCAGTAAGCCTTCTGTATGAGCCGGTCTAGGTGTTGTCTATTGTCTCATGTTATTACACAACCTCCTCCCTCCACAAAATAGCAGTAATCACGGAAGAATCCTGGATCGATGAACAGGCTTAGACCTACAACATCGTGTTTTAAAGTAAAGTAAGTAAGTAAAAAATAATTTATGAGCCACGAAACTTGCACAAATCAGGCAGCTGAACAATTTTTCTTAACTCTCAAAATTAAATCAGATTTAGGGCCCCGGAATGATCTCCAACTTAGCTCGAAATTGGTCAGTGTCGCACAACTTTCCGCACTTCCGCGTTCTCTTAGCACATGCGCTAACATGCATAGCCATATGTAGAAGTCTATTGCGAAACAACTACGTGTGCTGTCACAATGAATTTAGTATTTGTGTGAAGAGAATCACTTCCGTGTTCGCTCCATCGCAGCGAATTTGCAAATGACGCACTTGCCGATGTGCAAGAGGTATTTATACGATACCCTTGCCATGCGGTATCGCTCGGCCAGTATTCGGTCAACGCATTGACATTCAGTGCTTTATCGCGCAATTGTGTGAAAATAGTGCGCAAATACGCTATGCTCCTTCGCAATGGAGAATACACGCACAAATCGCGTGACCGAATTCTAATCGGCGCGACCGAATTCTGGGCAGAAAAATGCTCCGTCTTCTTTCGGAAGTATTTTGCTTATCATTATTCTATATTTTAAGTGACTATAAAATCCTGTCAGAGGAATAAATTTCTTTTCTTTTGATGGGTAGATTGCCAAATAAAAGAGGTAAGAATTCAAAATATTAGTGATTTCCCTTAAGTGACCGAATACTGGGCACTCTACCCTACTCCAAAAATATTTTGCTTTTTATAGTCTAGAGTAAAGGAGGGGGTTTTCGTCCACTTAAGACAAAATCCTATTTTTTGGACTCTTTACTTCCTATTTATTATCATTTCTTGTTCAAATCATGAAGCAAATATTATTATTATTTAAACAAAAGAATCCCAGAAAAAAATCATGAATTGCCATGAAAATATTTATTTCAATTTTCACTGTTTTGGAGCCAGTTATCGACCTAGCGATTCAGTTTACGACCGCATGTACAAAGTCAATAGGAAGCGCTATGCTATTATGCGATGTATTTTAAAGGGATTTTACCATGCATCCAACGGATTGGCCGAAAACTGGAGCGGGTCATTTACCCCCTCCTTTACTCTAGATGCAAAAAAACAAGAGAAACGGAGCAAACAAAATTTGAGTAAAATCGGATAACAAATGAGGAAGTTACGATTTTTTGAAAAAGTATGAAAAATATTGAACATTGAAAAATCACTACACAAATTGCCAATTTGGTTATCAGTTTGTGACATCATTTCCTCACTATATATCAATTGCTTTATATATGTTTATCCCATTAAGTTCCCTTTTTATTGTCAAAAACTTGATTTCCCCAGGCCCCATGCCTTTGCCCAGGTTATAAATAAATAATAAATAAAAACATTTATATATTTAACGCGCAACATATCCACCCAGAGGGTGCTTAATGCGCTTACAATGAACTACATAATATACTTGGATACAATTATGCTTACATTAGGCCATGATCGTCTGGTCTTAGGGATGATCAGAGTAATGATAACTATCATATTGAGTGCATGACATTTCACAAAATCTTTATGAACTCAAGTATTTATACTTTTTTCTGAATATTGTATATTTATATAATAAAAAAAAGTTGGCCTTGAGGGAGATACCACATAGTATTTCCCAAACTAGACTCATATTGCCCCGAGTCAAAGAGGAGGGCAATATGGGTCTTGTGAGGGCAATATATGTGTTATCTCCCGAAAGTTAAGCCAGTCAATATTTATCATCCATATCCAATTCAGACATCTAGAGCAAATACATACTGTACATGACAATCTCATAGAACTGAAAAAACTTTGTCAAACCAGCACTGTGCATCCAGCTGCTTGACAACATTTTTGATACACTGCAAACAGTGTACCCAATTTGGTGTGATTATTACATCACAATAAAGTGCGCGCAAAGTGTGCAGGTTCTCGTGCGCATAATAGATGCGCAACGAAAATGACAAAATACGACGCAGTGAATATGGTCTTATATTTCCTGCTTTTTTAACACATAAAGTCAATAGGCTTTTTCATGAGATGGTAATATGGTCTCGTATTTACTGAATAATTAGCCCTTTTAGGATTACAACAAGTGTAATATGATTTTATAAAACCACTGCTCAGATGTCTGATACAGGTCATAATCATAATTATTGATTTACATACCGCCGGTATTAAATAGTTTATCAAAATTCATGTATTTCGTAATTAAACTGAAAAAACTCTAATATTAGTGCATCCACACAAAAACATAATAGAGTAAAGGAGGGGGTTTTCGGCCGGTCCGTTGGATGCATATTAAAATCCCTTTGAAATACGTTGCATAATAGCATCACGTATCCCACACATACCATAACATGCCAGAGTCACTGAAGAACCACATTTGCAAAAGAAATTATATCCTTAAATATCACATTTTAGCGACGTAATCGGCGGTCCCGCTACCGAAATCTGAAAAATCAAGTATCTTACGCGTGTCTGTAGGGAATATGGGTACCATAAAATGAGCTGTATTTCAAGTATTTTTCAGATTTAGAACGCGATTTTGTGTGAGTCGCAAGCTCAAAAGTATCTCATTGCATGTAATAAATCAATGCAGCCGGATACCGCAGCGCACACACGATATCTCTGTCTAATTCAGATTCCAATTTCTGATCACCGCAGAGTTAGTTTTCGGCACGGGGAGCTCCGGTCGCTAGTGCTATAGATCAGTGGGGGAAACGCACGGCAAGCACGCTTCCTATTGACTTTGCAGTGTTTGCACATGCTGCCGAAAACTGCCCCGCTAAGCCGAAAACTACCTCCGAAACAGTGAAAATGGAAATGAATATTGTCATGGCAATTCATGATTTTTTTCTGGGATTCTTTAAAAAAAAAAAAAAAAATAGTATTTGCTTCATGATTTGAACAAGAAATGATAATAAAAAGGAAGTAAAGAGTCCAAAAAATAGGATTTTGTCTGAAATGGCCGAAAAGCCCCTCCCTTACTCTAGAGTAAAAGAGGGAATTTTCGGCCACTACAGCAAAATTCTATTTTCATCTCGCCTGCATAGCAAAAAGCGAGACATAGGCGCCGCTTTTCCGGTGACGGCGGCGACGGCGGCGGCGTCAACATTTTTTGATATAATTTTGATATAATTTTTAAAGTATAAGTTCTTAGTCGATGAAACTTTGACTATAGGGTAATCAAGTATCCCCAATCATGTGAGTAGAATTTCACAAAGTCAAGGTCAAAGGTCATTTCAGGTCAAGAGACTTGGACTATCATCATCATCGAATACTTAACCTAAGGTTAAGTTTTTGAATTTTTAATATCATTTTGAAAGTTTAAGTTCTTAGTCAATGAAACTTGGACTATAGGGTTATCAAGTCTCCCCAATCATGTGAGTAGAATTTCAGGCCACTAAGTTAAGGTCAACAAACTTAGACTTTGTTGTGGCATCAACATCAAGATTTTCTCCATTGTTCTCCATTAATTAATTATGGTAATTTATGCAAATTTATTCCAAGAATACCAAAAATTGCTTCTTTTCTCTCATTTCTTCACCGATTTTGATTTGGTTTGCCTTATCTGGTAGAACTAAATTTGGAACACTAAACTTCTACACAGAATTGTGAGATTTTGCTAAATTGATTATTTATGGTACTTCATGTACATGTAAATGAAATGAAATTATGTCCCTTCCAGGGCATCAAATTTTTATTATTTGACCAGTTCAAAAGTGTACCACATAAAATTTACGATATTTTTGTTGCGAGATGCGGATGAGCGCTACGTCATTGACGTTCTGGTTTATCATATTGAATTGCGTTATGCAGGCGAGACTGCAGAGAGCGTTTCCCTTGTTGGACTCTCTACCTCCTATTATCATTTCTTGTTCAAATCATGAAGCCAATACTATTATTATTTTAACCAAAAAAGAATCCCAGAAAAAATATCATGAATTGCCATGGCAATATTCATTTTCATGTTCACTGTATGAACGTACGTAGTCAATAGGGAGCGTGTGTGTGTTCACCGTCTGATCTATAGCACTGGCTCGCTGTGGTACAAAAAAATAAGACATGTGCGGCCAGAGCACGTAATCCCCCGCAAGAAGACGAAAGACCTGATGCATGCCTGATCGTCAACGAAACGGAGATAAGCTTTTGGTAAATCCGTTTGATGCAACGGCAGGCAGCCAGTGAAAATGAACTTGTTTGATCAAATTATGGAAATGCAAGCATTTTTAAAACAAACAGAATTTTGTTATTCCTGGCTCATTTTTCCTAATTGAGGTGTCATATGAAAGGGCAGAAATTGAACTTTCTAGAAATGTGATTTTCTCCTTGAAATTCAGATACCGCCCGCCAAATGATTTTTTGGTTTCCTCTCTTCAAATTGCTTTTAATCACTCATGCGTGAAATATGCATCGTATGAGTTGCATCAAATGAAAGAGGAGGATCTAAGCTTTCCAAATACATGTTTGTGTCATTTATTAATTGTAATTGTGATTAAGTTATGATAAAACATTGATTCGTTTTTTCGGTTCGTTTTTTCTGGGATGCACTGTATATGTGCTGAGAGGCAGCAATTGCACACTAATGCACACAATGAATAAGAAGTGGCTAATCGGCAAGTTTGACAGTAGACTCACGATTTGAATTTTCAAAGAATTTTTTTCTAACATCGGTAAGTTGAAAAGCTTGTATTTTACTGCTTAGGTGTCATCAATTGACGCTAAAGTACCGATTTTCGTACAGTTGTGTTTTAAATGTTGACAATCAATAGAGGTCGTTTTTAATACACAACAGTTATACTAATGCTGCTATGTTTGGTTATAACCTGATTTCCATTTTCTTTGCCGTTGCAGCATCTGCTGAGGCATTGATGAGCTTAAGGAGCGCAGGGAAGAGTAAGCTCTCCCCGTCACCAGCCCCGTCTCCAGCCCCCTCACCAGCCCCTCACCAAGCAAGGCATCACCTTCTAGAACAACACCATCTGTGCCTAGGAGGGGACATGTAAGTATGCTGGATGCTCTTCCTAACAATACCACCAACCAAAAAGATCTCTACTGTCTTCCTGTTGTACCACTTAATTTATATTTAATTATTCAGTTTAGGGACAACCCTTTGATAGGCCTTTGGCCTTTGTTTGCCCCCCCCCCCCCCAGATTTTGATACTTGTGTTATTTGTTGGAATTGCCTTTGTATTGTAAATGTTTGTTATTGTGATTTTTATTAAATGTGCAAATAAAATTATTGAATTAAAGTACAGTCACAGTCCTATTTAGCCAAAATAGAATCTAGAAAAGTTCTGTAAGTTGAATTTAGTTGTTAGTGATCTCATGTGGTCACCTGATAATTTTAGATTAGCAAATATGGGCAATTTGTATATATTTATATAAATCTAAAATTCCCATTTGTAGCTGGTAGACTGAGCTAACAACGCAAAACAACACGCACAAACTGTAAATACATACGCATACTAATAATACCTGAGGAATGTTGGGCAAAGACTAAGATCAACTTTAAGTTGGACTTAACTATGGCAGGCCATTCATGTCACTGGCTGCTCTCTCCATTTGTCTCTCAATTATGATCTTTAGAAATATTTTTTCCTTCGATTTTGAATTGTCAAAAAATGTAAATTCTGTAGATTTGTGGTCACGATTTACACATCCCTTGAGAAACCAATGTCAGGAATGGTTAGAGGAACTAGTGGCATAAAAGGCCTGCCGTAGTTAAGTTCAACTTATAGTCGATCTTAGTCATTGTGAAACACCACCCTGCACTAGTAGTGTTGCTCATCTTGTGCATTATTTTCCTTTGACTCCAGTCTGACTTATTTTGGTTTAGTAACAGCCTCAGATTCTGAAACAAAATCCTAGATTTAGTTATGCTGTAATGATAATTATAAACCTTTAGGTCAGTCAGAACCCCATGACTTATACAAGCCGATCGCCTGTCTGATTATCAAGATATTTATGATTGGAAATCAAAATTTTTAAATTCATTTTCCTAACAAATTTTATAACACTGCAGTTTATTGGGGAAAACGAGTATGGTAAAACCAGTCACTCAAAGATTTCTACTTTTTTGAGGCCCTTCATGATCATTTTGAAGCGCAATTTTTTTAGGGCTTCAATATTACACCATATCATAGACAATGATAACAGATAGGGCCATGCATCTCAGATTCAACATTGTTTATCGATGCCTTTAATCTCTCCAGCCCGCAAGAATCCGGAAGAAAAATCGGAGGATATTCAACGATGATGAAGACACGTCCATGTCTCCCATTAGGGCGTCGCCTAGCAAAAAACTCAAGATGTCTCCATCCAGAACGGTAAGCTACAATCAAGTACCATTATGATAAAGATTTGATATTAATCGTAACTTGTTAGCGATTGATATCAATCTCATTTATGTAAATAAGAGATAGGAGACTGCAAACTTGCGATTGATTGGAGGACTTGCGATTGATACATGTAAGGATCTATCGCAAGTCGCTACACTTGCTAAGATGGGGCCCAGGGAATTATTTCATGTCACCATTTTCAAGTACATCTTCAGAGATATCCCATTGAAGCCATGTTCTTGTATGAACATTTAAACACATGTCAGTGGGATGTGGGTGAACTTGTACTCGTGGCGGTATCGGAAACGATGCCCAGTTTGTAGTTAGGATATGTCCCCAATAATCCACTGATCTCGTACACATGAGGAAGTGCCACTTTATGCATTTAGAAAAAATGACTCTCAAATAGATGAAGATGCATCTGGAATAAATTTTGTGTTGCCCTTTTGAAAGGAATACTACCAGATGTGTAAGATGGGGCATAATTGCACAAATCTCATGAGCACCCCTGTCCAGTATTCATTTCTCTGGGGTTTTTACAAATTTTGTGCAAATGACCTTTGTCTGCTCATCTACAAGCTGACTTGTGACAAAAATGGCAGCACTAACCGTAATCCTAACTTCAATCCTGGATTGAACACTACAGTTACAGTCACTTTATTTGTTACATGTAGTATCCTTGTGTATAATCTATGTTCCAGAACAATTAATCAGATATATTACTGAGAAGTTTGTCTCACAAATCCATCTTTTCCTTTCATTTCCTTTTTTCATTTTACATAAATTGTTAAGTGAATATTTGTACGCTGCTGATGCTATTGACTACTCTGTCATGTCATTGTTTTGTTGCATGAATGCTTATTTGCTTTGATTATATTTCTATGAAAATAAATGAAAATGAAGTAACTAAACGAAACAATTGATTGATGTCAGGCCTACTAATCCATTATGTCTTGCCAAATGATGAGATGTCTTTTCCATTTCTTAACAACCATCTCTCTATCATGACAGTCCTTCTTTCCTTATCTTCTTCTCAACCCCACATGCAGCTCATCATTTAGTATTATTTTCTGTACCCTCGATCTCTCACTTCTTTTTGTCATTGTCTACTCTTTGTATTATGACCGTGTTCTTCTATCTTTGTCGTGTAACGTATTATCTTGGTCCTTTCTCGTCTCTGTTGGCATCCCCCTTTTTCTTTCCCCTATTTTGTAGTTCCCTTTGTAGTTACAGATTAGTTAATTTAATTACTCATTATTCCTAAGTTTCATTTGAGGTGTTCACACTTGTACAAGCATTGCTTTTTAGTGGACCCCTCTGTTTCCAACATGCATTTCTTAAATTTGTTTTAAATGCTTATAATTGATTTGTAATGTTTCGTTGGAAACATGAATAAATTTGAATTTTGAATAAAATAAAATTGAATCAAATGTTCTTTTCCTTGAAGCCCACCAAGTTGCACATCTCCACCTCTACCTTGGTCTCTTCCCCCCGTGCGAGTGCTTCCAAGTCCCCCTCCCACAACCCTTCCCCCGTCTCAACGCCGTCCAAACTCCCCACGTCCAGCGGGACAGGAGGAGGCCACGTGTCGTACAAGAAGTCCGCCCAGAAGCTAGGCCAACGACTCAAGAACCTGCTCAAGTTACCCAAGGCATACAAGTGGTGTATCTATGAGTGGTTCTACTCAAACATCGACAAGTAAGTCAGGAACCTGTCATAAAAGTTTTGAGTACTGACGGAAGGTTCTGCTCAATAATTCAGATATCCAGATTTCAAATCAAATCAAATCATTTACTTCCAAATTCCAATATCAATTAAAAGCAATGTGTAAAAAACAGTCAATGGGCAATAAAACATTATAAAACTATGACATTTCAATCTAACGATATAGCAATCAAAGAGGAACAAGGTACAGACTACATTAAAAACATAAGTGGATTATTGATGAAAACATAAAAGCCTTAAGTACTGACAAATGGTTCTGCTAAATAATTAAGATAATTAAAACTGACTAAATTTGTAGGTGTCTCAGTATACTGGTTAATTCATTTGACTCTCAATTCGAGGGTTGAGGGTTGGAATCCCAGCCTGCCACTATCGTCCTTTTCCAGGACATTAATCCATACTTGCCAATCTCCACCCAGGTGTAAATGGGCACCCGATATGCCAGAGCGCTACCTAATTGGCAGTAAACTATGACTATAATGAAATTTTAAAACGGCAGGAGCATCATCACGTAATTGACTTGTGCACGATATAAGAAGCCACCATTATTTTAATTGTTACAAATATACACTGTACGTTACATTTGTGTGAGTTAGATTCAAGCCATGTTACAAGCTTTTTTTAACGCATTCCAAAATATTGACCGAAAATGGTTAATCAGAATTATTTTTGTTTTGAGGTTCATTTATGGTGCCCTTTTCAGAATTTTAGAAGGCTAAGCCCTTTCTTTAGCTAGTTCTTTGCAAATGAATAAATGCCTTAACACACAACAATGATTTCCTTTTGTGATTGACAGATCATTATTTGAAGGAGAGAATGACTTCAAGATTTGCCTGAGGGAGTCCTTTCCCCAGCTCAAGCAACGCAAGTTGACCAAAGTGGAATGGTGTATTGTCCGGAGATTAATGGGCAAGCCAAGAAGGTGTGTAGTGTTGGCATCGTTATTTTGTTATCCTTTTCATCAATTTATCATATTTAAGGTGGTTTTGCTCAATAAAGAGCCCTGGTAAAATCCACTATGAAAATGATGGACAAAGAAAGCGGACAAAATATACAGTTCCTCAGGTAGACAAAGGAACATCCCTTCACTGCTATTATGTAAAAATGTGTAGAACAGGTGAATATGCATGTGACACCTGTTCTACACATTTTTGGCTCGCCTACGTAGCAAAAAGCGAGACATAGGCGCCGCTTTTCCGGTGACGGCGGCAGCGACGGCGGCAGCGACGGCGGCGGCGTCAACATCAAAAACTTAACCTAAGGTTAAGTTTTTAAATTTTTGATATAATTTTTAAAGTATAAGTACTTAGTCAATGAAACTTTGACTATAGGGTAATCAAGTATCCCCAATCATGTGAGTAGAATTTCAGATCACAAAATCAAGGTCAAAGGTCATTTCAGGTCAACAGACTTGGACTATGTTGTAGCATCATCATCATCGAAAACTTAACCTAAGGTTAAGTTTTTGAAATTTTGATATAATTTTGAAAGTATAAGTTCTTAGTCAATGAAACTTGGACTATAGGGTTATCAAGTCTCCCCAATCATGTGAGTAGAATTTCAGGTCACTTAGTTAAGGTCAAAGGTCATTTAAGGTCAACAAACTTAGACTTTGTTGTGGCATCAACATCAAGATTTTCAAAATGCTTCTTCTTCGTTATTTTTCAACCAATTTTGATTCTGATTGTTTCATATGATAGGGCTAGGAGGGGGATTTAAAATTTCTACTCAGAATCGAGAAATTCATTATCTATGCTAATTTATGCAAATTTATTCGAAATCACAAAAAAGGCTTCTTCTCCTTCATTTCTCGACCGATTTTGATTTGGTTTGCTTTATATCGTAGAGCTAACTTTGGTACACTAAACTTGTACACAGAGTTTTGAAATTGTTCTCCATTAATTAATTATGGTAATTTATGCAAATTTATTCCAAAAATAACAAAAATTGCTTCTTTTCCCTCATTTCTTGACCGATTTTGATTTGGTTTGCCTTATCTGGTAGAGCTAAATTTGGAACACTAAACTTCTACACAGAATTGTGAGATTTTGCTCCATTGATTAGTTATGGTACTTGATGCAAATGAAATTAAATTATGTCCCTTCCAGGACATCAAATTTTTATTTTTTGACCAGTTCAAAAGTGTACCACATAAAATTTACGATATTTGTTGTTGCGAGATGCGGATCAGCGCTACGTCATTGACGTTCTGGTTTATCATATTGAATTGCGTTATGCAGGCGAGATCACCGAGAGCGTTTCCCTTGTTACATAATAGCAGTGAAGGGATGTTCCTTTGTCTACCTGAGCAACTGTATATTTTGTCCGCTTTCTTTGTCCGTCATGTTCATAGTGATCATACCATCAATGTTAACTACCATGGAAACCTTGATTTTGATTGGCTGTTGAGCCCTGTTACTATGGTAGTTGCCATTGATGGCAAAGTTACCATCAATGGTTAGTTTTATGCAACGGGTCCAGATACTTTAGCAGAAAGAACACACTTTACAAATGTTTGTTGCATAACCCTTTGCCCTTCGATGCTTGACATTTTTTAAATGAGAATAAGCACTAAAATCCTTCAATTGGCAACATCATGGAATGTTCAGAATCGCCTATTTCATGCAAATTGACACTAAAAACTTCTTAACATACTTGATAGCAATGAACATTCAATCCAAATAGACAACTTTTTATTGAAAAATGTAGGAATTATAGACAAATATGAATGTTGTCAATTTGAATAAACAGTTCCTGTTCTGAAAAGGTTAGAGGAGAATTAATTCCTGTAGAAGCAGAAGAATTTAATAGAGAGATATATTTAAATTAATTTAATAGAGAGATATATTTAAATTAATTTAATAGAGAGATATATATTTAAATTAATTTAATAGAAAGAGGCAGTTTTTTTTTTTTTTTTTTTTTGGGGGGGGGGGGGGGGTTTGGAAAGCATTGCAAGCTTTGCCGGATGACAAGACCAGAGGAATTTATTTTATTTATTTATTAGTCTTTAATACTGCTTTTTCGTGGAGGCCCTACAACAACAATACAAAATTTACAAACATATGGAAAACAATCCAAATTGAAACAAAATGAATTAAGTTACAACATTTTTGAACAAAAGAAAAGTAACAGAAACAACACAATGGACCAGTTCAATGATTTAAATTATTATAGCGCCAAAACAAAAGAGTAAATGGAGAATTTGATGGCGCATTTTTTTAAAAATTAGGTAAAGTATTCCAGAAAGCCGCACCATCAAATGAAAAACTTTGTTTTCCCATCTGGGTTTTTATTTTGGGTAAAATTAATCCTGCATTTTGTGCACTGCCTGTTCTAATGTTATGTACAGATTGGGTTTTTTGAAATCCCCATTTGGGCAGATTTACATTTTCACATCTGATGTTGTTGAAGATTTTATTCAAACTTTGAATAGCAGTGGGAATTGTACACATCATGCTAAGCACTGCAGATTTTATTTTTTGGTAGTAAATAGTGACGAAGGGAATAAAGATTTTTGTTTGAATACTGTGAAATGTATGACACTGAAAGTTAAATGTGACTTAGTTACTGAATGAATTTGTTATAGGATTCTTAATTTTGATTAAAATTGAATTTATTAGTAAACTTCATTCATATAAATGAACATTTTGTTTCACAATACATAAATAAAACAATTATATAAACAAGAAAATCAACAAGTGGTATAGTTTTGGGAGTAATCACAAATTAACAATAAACATTGTAGCTTGTACATACAGTGGTAAATGGTATTATTACAAAATAATTATATCACACGTACCAGCCTATGTTTGACATTAAAGATACATAACAAATGGGAATGATAATTTTGATATTGATGTTCTATTGATATATATTTAATTTCTTTTTGTTACATGGCGTACATTCATTAACATGGATGGGATGTTAAAATTTCCCTCAAGTATTTATGAATGTTTTAATACACTTACAGAAGTGATCAGTTATATTTTCATTCTCAAGTGTCATAGTGCTTACAAATTTCTCTTCATCGCTAAGATCTTCAAACTGTCCAGATATTTCAGCCATGTTATTGTCATAGGTAACCAAACAATGAGTTCCTAATGTGATACCGTTGCTTTTGAATGGACCTGTTATGCTGTGATGCAATAATTCTTGTTTGCAGATGTTCACCAGCATTCTTTGAGGAGGAAAGGGCGGCGCTAGAGGAGCGGAGGCAGAAACTAAGGATGTTACAACACAGAAAAGGTCAAGAGCTTGACCTGGCAGAGGTCAAAGATCTCCCTGAAGAGATCCCAATACCCCTCTGTATAGGCACAAAGGTCACAGGTGAGAGGTCAACAAAACTTTGTACAGTATATCATGTGCAATACAGAATAGTTTACAACAAAAAAAGATTACAGTGAAACCTGTCTATAAAGACCACCCAAGGGAGACAAGAAAAGTGGTCTCTATAGGCAGGTGGTCTGTATGTACAGGTTCCTTTAGTTCATGTTTCAATGAGAATTCATTTTCAAGGGAAACAAAAATGTGGTCATTGTAGACAGGTAGGTGGTCGCTAAACCAGGTTTGACTGTATATGCATACTTTTTAAACAAAGGATTTTCTTGACAACCTGATAGTTGTCTGAGGCTTGCCCAACTTAACAAAAAGTGAAAAATGCAGACTGGATTCAAAGTATTGTAGTTCATTCATTGATAACAGGTCCCCAGGAAAGAAACATCCATAAATTTGTATATAGTAGTAAACCGGTCTATTGCAAACAATTATTAACAGAAAATTGTTGACAACTGGTCCTACCAGTAGACCCCGTAAGGAGAGTCCCAAATAGGCAAATGTAGATTTCTAAACAAAACAAAATTGCATGCACTGTACACAGAAATGAGTATGGGACTACACAAGCATGTGGCATGAAAGTTGTGGTCATAAACATTTAGCTGTTACTTGTCATACGGGTACTTCAAATTTGAGGGCATTTGAAGAGCCGTCCTTTTCAGGGGATATATTTTCTATGATACTCTTCCACGCTGACATTGAAAGAATGAAAGAGCTCACAAATCATCTTTCACCTTTCCCAGAACTCCAGCTTGAGTTTAAACATGCAGATAAGTTAGTACTTGTCGGTCCTTTGTTGCATGAAGCCAATTTTTTTTGGCCCCTCATGTTATTCACTCAAACTTTAAAAAATTATGAACAAATCATTCGCCATGTGAACAAACCTTTATTACAATATATACCAGGGTTGGCAATTTGACTATTTGACTTTTGACACCGTGTAAATAAGCCTTTATATGGACATATGTCAAGGATTGCCAATTTGACTATATTTCTCTCCTTTTGTTTCCCCCGTAGCTCGTCTACGAGCACCTCACGACGGTCTCTTCACCGGTCAGATAGACGCGCTGGATCCTGTAGATGCTACGTATAGAGTAACATTTGACCGACCTAACTTTGGCACTCACTCTGTTCCAGACACAGAAGTACTCGTAAGTTCAGTGTATGGGATTGTATCAAACATGATATCACATTTCTTGACCATGCAAGTGAATGAAATAATTTGTATCGAGGCACTTCACGAAGATTTATGCATTAAATTTGGTTACATTACTAAAATAACCTATTAATTGCACAAAACACTGTATTATTTTGACTTTGGAAAAAAAATAGTAAGAATATGAAAACATACAGCGTAGCTATAAATTTGGTTGCTATACAGCAACTTACAAGTAGGCGGGGAGCAGTCATTTTGCTTTCTTAATTGATTGAGATAAGTTACATTGGTTGCCAATAAGGCATAAAATTGCATTCAAAATACTTTTGCTTGTTTACAAAGCATTGAATGGTCAAGCCCCACATTATTTTTCTGAATAATTATCTCTCAATTCACGTCATACGCACGTAACTTGCAAAGCACATAGGACAAGCTGCGTCTAAAAGGCAGTAAAGCTACCTCACATCAACAAAAACAAAACTAACCCTTGGAAATTGTGCTTTCAGTTGCGCCGCTTCAAAGCTTTGGAATAACCTACCACTAGACATCAGAAAAGCCTCATCTGTTGATATCTTCAAAGTTTTGTTCAAGACGCAAATATTTTCAGGAGCTTTGAATATTTTGTTGCTGTGTGAGTCAGTGAAGTAGCGCTGTCTCCATCACAGCGCAGTAGAGTATTTTAAACAGTAGCTGCGCTTATAAATTGATGTAATTATTATTATTATTTCTAATTTGTTTTCCTCTTGAATAGAGTGCAGAAGAACATGACACTATTTCATGTTTGTCTTCTCATTTGTTTTCTTGTTGAACAGAGTACGGAAGAACAGGAGACTGTAGCGTTGACATCCTTCCTTCAGAAGCAGAGACCAAGACCCAATTACTTCACACCTCTCAGGTATTTAATAAACCCTTTGACTTCTGAGTTCTCTCGTTCCCATAGGCTTAAAGGGAAAGTTGAGTTCTGTTGCAGAGGGCGCTACACAAAATAATTTTTTTGTGAGATAATGAGTGTCAAATTTGAAAGAACATACAATTTCAATGACAAAATCATCTTTGTTTGATAAAAATCGGTTCAGAGACGGCTGAAATATCCATAAATATAACAATTTCTAATTTTGTGTACCACCACAAATATTCGATAATTTGGAAAAGCCGTTGAAAAAAACGAAATAGTGCCATTTACGTTGTATTTCAGCCAATGACAATGTTGGATTTTTTGTTGGCTTTGTCGTGTTGGTTCTATTACGCACAACCAGCCGTCCCATGTATTGTTATTATTAATTAATTAATTAACGGTCACCATATTTTTTTGAAAGTAGACTGAATTGGTATGATCGTAATGGCTACATTTTGGGGTCTAAAATTACCTTTATATCAATTTTAGGTCCCAAAAGGGCACTAGAAATGCCATAGATAAGATAAGAGCAATAAGCATGCACTCTGAAGGCATTTGCAGTCTGAAAACAAAACTCAACTATCCCTTTAATACAGTAGCCAACAGGTTCCTGTAGGGGATGGGTTTACATTTGTTTAGTCATATTGTAGCTTCATGATTGGTACACTTTAAAGGTACTATGTCCCATTTGCAGGCCAAAAAAATGAAAAGGTTAAAGTCCAACCACATTTGAAAGATAATACTAATTAAGAACTTCCCTAAAAGAAAGGGGGCTTGACAAAGACTTTAAGTGGGAAAATAACGACTATTAGTTATTACAAGAAGTGGGTTATTGATGTAGACAAATGCTCATGTACCCTTTACAGCTCATTTTATGTATGTTATTACCAAAGAAGAAAAAAGCCACTTAATCACTCAATAGTGTCTGACAGTGCAGTCTAGCAAGTAAACGGGTTTCCTTGCATAGTTTGAATATTAGGACACTGCTAATGTTTAAATTTCACAGATAGGACATCCATGACATATTCATAATTCCTGCAAAGTTCTACAGAATTTGAGGTTAGCTGCAAAAGGGACATAGTATCTTTAACCAATAGCAAATCAGAGTTGACTCTTTTCTAGAGGTTTCGATCCTCAAATTGGCGGGAATTAATCAAATTTTCTATTCCTTAGTTTAGAAAACAGCAGAATTTAATTTATCATTTGCCAATTTGTACACGGAAATAGTGATTTTATATTTTACATCGCATTGCCAATTTACATATTTTTAAGTGATTTGTTAGAATTATATTGCTCTTATTTGAGAATGGCACAACATGCTGCATTGGAAAATAGACTAATGTTGTTTTTCTTTCTGCTCATGTATCATGTTTAACCCAGAGCATGCTGAATCAAAAGATCATTAAAGGTAAAGACCAGTTATGGTCATGCGATTGCATTGTGAAAGAAACGTTGTGGAATCGATCAGAAAAGGTTGATCATCTAGCATATAAGAATTGGTGTGTACTGCAAGGTTCTGGAATCATCAAAATGATAAGAAATATGGCCCAGTCTTCGTAAAGTTACAAGCACTGTACACAGAAAGATGTATATGAGACTATACGCACCCGTGCGCGACACATGCGTTTATCTCTCACAGACCTTGTAGATAAACTAATTTACCAAATATATCAATTAGTAGGCGGTTTCCCGGCAAAATTTGTATCATCATGTATTAGTCAAAACATATTCTTTCACATGATTGGTAATAAGAGCTTCCATTTCATTTTTTGAAATTGGGGTGTTTCCAATACTGGTCTTTACCTTTAAGGGGTCATTTTTAATTAGCCAATAATGCAAAAATGCTTTAATGCAAAACAGATCACTGAAGGGAGACACTAGAGATTTTGTTGGCAGCTGATAAACAACCATCCGCAAACACGATGAAAATCTTAAATCGAAAAAATCTACATCTGGAGTTTTATTTTTTTTTAAACGCTGGTAGAAATTTCACTGATTTTCGTAGTGTAAATGCCAGCTCCTGAAATGAAATGATAGAATTTTTTAGTCACAAGTTGCGCATGGGCACTATACACACAAAAATAAAAATGAGCAAAATCAACATTTTTTTCCAATAATGTAAGTGGCAGTCTTAAAGGTATTACAAAGTTTTGGGAATATTTCATCAGGATTGGATCATGAAATTTAAAATTTGCATTACTATTGTGAAATATAGTGTTAGAACACCCAACTCTAAAAAAATTGGGCTCTAAAAAGCTTTCGATTTGGAGTTATTAAAATTTTAAAAAATAAAAAATTTTACCGGTACTCCCGGTAAATTTGGTATAGCTCCCTCTCAGTTCGAAAATTTATATGCCATCTGAACAGCATAACACATACATAGCACTATTGTCAAAGTGTAATAATTAACATGTTTTGACACCCAATCATATTACCAGACTTAAACAATATATATAATCATGAAGATAATTATTTTAAAGTCGAGTTGCCTTAGTGTAAGATTTTTATACTGTCTCCTAAATTTGAAGAAAAATATACTTGTCTGTACACTGTAATCGCAATATATAATTTTATAATCGATCGGACCGTCACCATCTTTACTGTACTTACGTACGTTAATCTATGAATTTCCTGTGCGGACCGGAATATCCTGTGTTGTTCTCTTCAACTCATTTTTCCATTTCCCTCTCTTAATCGTTTCTGTGTTTTCAACTTTGAAATGCATTTGTTATTGCTCGACTTTGATAATATTGTTGTTCGCCAGCTCTGTGAACGAACGCACATATTGCCTGTATTTTGGTCAAGTCAATTCTCGCTACCCTAAATAGGTACGAAAATCTCGAAATTCGCGAGACGAGGTAATTTTCACTCTCTCGGGTCGTCACTACAACTTCCGGTATAGAGTCCCATCCCGCTGGCGCTAGCGCCTGTGTTCGCTGTGCAGAGTTTTCACGCACGCTAAAATCGATGCCAATCAGTGTCATTTGTACAGATTATAATATGCAATGGAAAGCTTCGGGCAGAATTAGTGACTTTAGCACAAAAGGCCGTTAAACTCTACCGTGAAAGAGAGGGTTGTGATCACGAACGCCTGCACAGGAAGCTGTAATGTCGAAAAGCTATCCCATAATGCAATGCGCGTTTTCAGGATTTTCCCCGGATCTCGGCAGAATCGCTATTTGGGGTAGCGAGAATTGGCCGTGATGAACTGCAAAGATCTGGCATTGATCTCTGTTCATGTGTATTAGGCCTACGTATAGTACATGTTACGTGTGTACGTGTATTAGTCTATGTGTGTAGGGCCGGATTGGCCAGAAGAATTTCCGAGCACATTTTTGTTAGGGATAATCTCAAAATACTCCCCAAAGTCCTTGTACGGGGACAGTTTGGGTAATCATTTATATACAGAACGTAACATTATTTATTTTGCATTTCTTTATTAAAAATAAAGAAGATACGTTTTATCGTACAAACGAAGATAAATCAATAATAAGGTTGACGACGTTTTCCCGAACAGTCGATTATGTGTATACTGCACATTCTTATTTTGAGATCATCCCTTTGTGAGTTTACGGGTACGGTACGCTTGTTTATTTAGCCTAATGACCTCTGGTAGAGGTCAGTAATTGCTACACGTGTTTGGGCTAACCTCTCTCTTTCCGTATAATTGAATTATATTCTTCGCCCCCGTCTCATAACCATGCACCAACTGCATTGACCAGGTCCGTGTTATAACACTCTCACTTGATATTCTCTCTCACCCTCTCTCTCTCTCTCTCTCTCTCTGTCGCTTCTATATCCCTCTCATCTCCCCCCTCTCTTTTGTATCACTCTCTATCCCTTCTCTCCTTTCTCTCTCTCTCTCTCTCTCTCTTCTCTCTCGCTATCTTTATTTCTCCCATTTTCTTTCCCTCACTCTTTATTTCTCAGTACCCCATACCATTCTACCCTTTCTCTATTTATTTCTCTTTTGATGAATATTGTATATAATCTGTCTCTCTCTCTCTCTCTCTCTCCCTCTCATCGCATCACCTCGTTTATCCCTTTCTACATAATCCATATCACTTGTTAGTCGCTCTCTCTGTCGGTCTGTGACCGTCTGTCTGATGACTGTCTCTCTTTCTTTATCCACACACCTCTCTCTCTCTTTCTTTCGCTCCAACTTTGTCTCTCTCTCTCTCTAGAAGTTCTCATTCGAGTGATATAAGACCATTTTTTTTTTTTAGGGTTATGTAGATGAGGATGATATAAATATGACAAATATAATAGTAATCACAATAACGAGAGAACTTCTCATTCACGTAATAGGACAGTAGTTTTTGGTTGGAGTTTATGACAAGAATAATAATAATCATAAAGACGATAGAAGTTCTCATTCGCGTGATAGGACTTATGTCGGGGTTATGTAAATGAGGGTAATATAATTATGACAAAGATAATAATTATAACAAAAGCAAGAGAAGTTCTCATTCACGTGATAGGACAGTAGTTTTTGGTTGGAGTTTATGACAAGAATAATAATACGTCACAAAGACGATAGAAGTTGTCATTCGCGTGATAGGACCATATTTCTTTTGAGTCGGGGTTATGTAAATAAGGGTAATATAATTATGACAAAGATAATAATTATCACAAAAGCAAGAGAAGTTCTCATTCATGTGAAAGGACAGTAGTTTTTGGTTGGAGTTTATGACAAGAATAATAATAACCACAAAAGACGATAGAAGTTCTCATTCGCGTGGTAGGACAATATTTCTTTTGTCGGGTTTTATGTAAATGAGGGTGATATAAATATATGACAACAATAATAATAATCACAAAAACGATAAAAGTCCTCATTCGCGTGATAGGACCATATTTCTTTTGTTATTATTTATTTTCTTATGTAAATGAGGGTGATATAAATATATGACAACAATAATTATAATCACAAAGACGATAGAAGTTCTCATTCGCGTGATAGGACCATATTTCTTTTGTTATTATTTATTTTCTTATGT